TTCGCACATAGTGTTGGTGTCAACTCGTGTGAAAAAATAAGATTATCCAGTTCTTTTTCTTCTGATTACCGTTCCTCACTCTTGGCATTATTGACACAAAAATATGAAGGTAAAATAGAAAAATGAATATCTTAAAAGATATTTCGCATTCTCTGTATTAGAGTGCATCAAAATAAAAACATCTTTCTTTTTTAATATTCTAATTATTGTTATAATGATTTAATCATTATTTCTTTTTAATTTGGAGTTTAAAATCCTTGTAAATCTCCGCAGTCAAAGTATGAGCATACAATATTCGCACAGAAAAACGTTTAGCTTCTAATTTTGATTTAAAATTTAAAACCTGCAATAAATAGGAAGACGAAAAAAAAATGCAATTAGAAACGCAAAAGTATAATAAATATTAGAAGTACGCGCGCGTGGTTGAAATCAAAGAGCGCGAAAGATATGTACTTAAATATTATATATGACGTAATTATGCATCTGAATTGAAGAGAGAACTAACTGTAAGATGAACTGTACGGCAATGAGAATGGCAGAGTTCGATAATGTTAGCCAAGTTTTTATTGGCCGTGAAAGCGAGCGTTATTAGTAATCCAAGTGCAAATCCGACACTATCGTGAAGCGTAATTCTCGTAATTCCCTCACTGTCTCTCTTTCTATCTTTCCCTCTGAAAAACCAAGTCAATGGCGATTAAATTTCCGCCTGTCTTTTGGCGTCAAGGATTATCAAATGTTCCTCTCATCGCCGTCTCGAAGCGAGGGTCAAAAGAGAACCGTGGACATTGACTGCCTGCCAAGATCCGAGGGATAAGTTCGTCATTGCGCGCGTAGGTGAATGGAACCCGTCTTTAATGGGGATCCCATGATGCGCAGGTAGATAAACGTACCGTGAATAGGCCGCGGGCTCTGAATGAATGGTTAAAGAAACGGCAGAAGAGGAGAAGACGCGCAACCTTTCGTCTTGTCTCCTTTCGCTCCGCGTTTCTCTCTCCTCCTCCTCCTTCTTTAAGAATTCTTCACGCGTGTACAACACTTACGCGTTTTGGTACATCCGTTTTCCGGTAAGTTAACACTGGAAGCTACACGTCGCTGTAATTAATTTTCGCATCAGCTTCAGCTCGTACTCGTAAAAGCGCGCGTATTCACGAACTCTTATGTCAATTTCTGTCAGTGTTATAGAGATTAATTTTAATCTCGGTTTAACTTCTAGTTTTAAAAATTAAGAGATTAAAGTTAATCTACGTACATTGATGGAAATAGACATTAAAAAATTTCGCTGTCGCGAAAAACGAAATCTTGTATCATGCGTGTGAAATCGTCGATTATTATTTTGAAGATCATATATGCATTTGACAAATTTCAAAGGTGTGTAGAGGTAATCCGAGATTTTGCGAGCTGCGACGAAATATAAATTTTTCAGGAAGCTTAGATTTTTGTTTCCCTCTCTTTAGCGAAAACGCGTTTCCAATATATTCATCAATTTCATGGATAAAGATATAATCATCGATATCATCAAATGCGATCTCCCGCAGAAAGATCAAGATTGCTTAATAATTCTTTGCTTTTTAAAATAGAGCTTGATAGAGAAAGAAAATGCCATTCTAAGGTATAAGAAATTTAATACCACAAATATCCGCGATCAAATAAATATATAATTTCGCTTGGAAGATCGCTCGGTAGCTGATCGTAAAATGACGCTGACGAGAACGTGCTGCATTCAAACGTATATAAATATTCACGAAATTAGGGAAGCGATCTGTAAGAGATAAGAGATAATTTCGAGGGCTTTACTAGTCGAGATGGACTGCACCGGCGTCACTGTCACGGTAGCCGTACAGATCCGCAGACTCGTCTTATGCCCAGTCTCTACACAATTCGAGCCTCTGCTGCTGCTGCTGCTGCTGCTGCTGCTACACGAGTGTTTGCAGTCCACTCGAAACCAGTCCCGAACGAACAGTCGCGCACGTGTGTGTGTGTGTGTGTGCGCGCGCGCGCGCATATATAGTGTGTGTATATATATATACATATGTATATGTATGTGTGTGCGTACGAATATGCGTGCGTGCGTGCGTGCGGAGAGAGAAAATGGACGGGAGATGAAAGTAGACGAAGATATAACACCGACAGCGCACCGCGAGGCCAGAAAGGTTGCTTAATTTGTCTAACGAGGGCTCCCTGCACCTGTCATCCGGACACGGAGATGGACGAGCGGACAAAGTACGGCCATCTCCCTCCCGTTCGAGCCGAGCTCCCGCGCTCCTCCCAGCAGAAGATACCGTTTACTTGTTTATTCGCTCGCCTACGTCGTTTCGCTACTTCAACATCGTCGGATTGCGCGTACCGGGTTAATAATGCACAACGCGGAGCACGCTTACGCCGAGCGTACAATGGGCGAATCTGCGCGTACAAGGGCGCATTGCAGGGTGGTGCGTATAGCGATTAATAGTAATCTGTTATTATTCGCGATTAAATCTTGTCGTGGATTAGATTAATGATGCAAATGCAGGGCCAATTAAACGCGAGATAAGTAAATATAAAGGAGAAAACATCAATGTCGATTGCAGTAGCGCTCGATTGATATTATTTCCTCTTTGAGTTGTTAATTCTTAATCAGTTTCCTTTGGCTGATTATACTCTAAATTGACTGTATTCCATGATAATAATGTAAAGAATGGTATATGTACTTTTATAAAGTATCTACCGTATTTCTTTGAAATATATTCTCAATATTTGAGGTATTTCTATGTGCTCCAATTTTGATAATTAATTTCTCTCGAATCTTTAAAATCTTAGAAGCAATTTAGAATTTCAAGTCCCAGTTAATAAATAAGCCGTTGAAGTAACGTATCTGCGAGAAAGAAAACTGCAAGCTTCTTGCGTTTTTCGCAGGAAAAACTATTTCGTATCCTCGGCACTTACTCTCTGTCGAGGGTTCGCTTCTCAGTCTGTGCGTGGCATTTACTCCCCTCGGTAAATCAATCACACACGCTCATTGTATCCCATATAACGCTTTGTTTTTATGTTCGCGCGTAAAGACGGTCGGCGATAGGGCCGGGGCATAACGAAACACAGGAATAAGGTGTAAGAAAATAAATAAGAAATGCATAATATGAATAAAAAAAAAAGATCTTTACAAAAAATCAAATCGAATGACAAATTTAAATAAAATATAAGCACATTAATAAATCAATAAATGCAAATCAAAATTAATAATTTATCAAATACAGCTGTTACTCTCTCTCGCTTTCTTTTTTTTCGTAAGAATTTTCGTCTCACACTTAAATAAAGGTCGACATTTTTTAATATTGTGTAAGTAGATTGAGTTTCATATTATCAGAATGCATGCAATTACTCTGCAATGGCTCTCCTTAAGTTATTCAACATATTCTCGTCTAATTATAACGATAGATATAAATTGCTTAGCGGTAAAATGGTGCTCAAAATCATCGTAGGAAACATTTTCTATCATTATCTGCATGTATATCCTAGCTACTACAATAGCTTTTGTACGAACGAACGTATCGGGTAACGCAACGGGAAGACGGGAGAGGAGATCGAGGGAGAACGCGATGCACAGAAGCGGGGAAGGGGAGGGGGGATAGGCGGCACGACGATAGGGCACGTCCGCTAATTGGATAATTATGGAGTGCGCCGCGTTTGTTTTATAATTGGGCGAAAACCGGGGAACCCGTCGCTCGCCTCGACGTGCCAAACAACAAAACGGCCGGAGTCACGCTCTACGTGACGAACTACCCTCGGAGCTAATCCAGGAGCCGAGGGTCCCTCGGCTTGGCATCCCTCTCCCCCGCCCCCCCAACCCTTCCTCCGTCCCTGTACTCCATGTACCCCATCCCGCCCCCGCCGGCTTGTGTGCTTTGGAGCCCTCCGCGCCAGCCAACGTCAACCACCCTCCGACTCGCCGCCGATTCATCGTTTGTCCACCTACCAACGGGGTTCACCACCGCCCACCTTCATGACACAACGCGACGCGACGTGGGACAACTTGTCGTACCCTCCGGCCTCTCCGCCCCAATTTGACAGGGAGATGAAACAGGGTATAATTTAGATCATTCGATATTCCTTTAAAATATCACTTTGAGAAGACATCTCTCTGCATTGATATTTTGATAATAAATTTTTTTTATGTTAACGAAAACTGAAAAGAGTTTATCCGTTTCTATATCACGATAAAGAAGTAATATGATCAGCGATCATTCACGAGTTCGATATACATATAGAATTGTTAGCGGCGATTTGTTTTCAACTGTAATTAAATAGAAGGCCAAAATAAGAAATACATCCCGATACGGATAAGAAAAATCTCCGCTCAGTGCCGTCAAACCCGAGGAGAAGTCGCGTGCAGGCGCTTTAATTTGACTCTTCTAATCTCGGTATTGTCAGAGGAACAAGAGGGTAAAACAAGTAGTAGGAGAAACTGGTCCCAGTTAGAAAACGATTGACTCACTGACTGATTGCGAAACGCTCTCTCGTTAGGGTCGGGGGGCCCTTCCCGACCCTCCAATTCAATCCCTTCATCCTCGCTCTTCGGCGTTTCGGTTTCAGCGTAAACACGTCTCGTGCATCACCTAGCCACGTCAAAAGTCCTAGATACGATATCTAGATGCAATTAGAGCACCGAGAAAATATCCGACGCGGAATCGCTCAAGAGGAGAAAAGCGTTAACGCGCCGACGAGAATTAATCGTTTCGTAATTGCATCTAATATTATGGACTCGCTCATTAATTTTTTCGATTTCGTTCATTAAAAAATTTTAATAATTTTAATATTAATATTTTTCTCGCATGTAATTTCGCGTGCTTTAATTTCAATAAAAATTGAGAACAATATCAATTTAGTTACGTCGACGAAAAGTCGCTTGAAGTATCTCGAGCGTACTTCTTACTATTCTTTTATCTCGTCTTTAATATCATAATTCTGATAAACGTATTAACAACTCCTAACACGAGATGCATGCGTACAAAAATGAAATGACTTACCATGAGAGTATGGAGGCGCGTATAAATCCATCGGCGGGGGAATATTCGCATACGCAGGTCTGTTATGGTTCACATGATGGCTGTAAAGAAACAATTTATTTCGTATTACTTAACGTTTGCGCAATATGATAGAATATTTCATTGCGGAAAGAAATTACTTTTTTAAATAAAAAAAATTTTAATTAAATTACATACATTTTTCTCGCATGTAATTTCGTGCTTTAATTTCAATAAAAATTATTCAGAATCAAATTAAGACAATCAGTTTAGTTACGTCGACAAAAAATTGCTTTAAGTATTTCGAGCGTATTTCTCACTATTTTCTTTTCTCGTTTTTAATATCATGCATACATAACAGGTGCGCGTTTCGCGCGCGCTGCGTATTAAATCCCATACGTCTCCCAATTACATTTATACCAATTTACATTTTAATTAAACAAATGTTAATTTTTGATATAAAATAAATTTTCAAAAAAATGATGCTTTTCGCGCGGTGCGTATTAAACTCCATACATCGTCCAATAACATTTATACCAAACTATATTTTAATTAAACAAATTTTAACAATTTTCAATAAAATAACATTTTAATCG